TCTCAGTGTCCCTAACTATAAACCCTTAAAAGAGGTAATTTGAGCAATATATTTAGCAGATTGTCTTGTATTTATTTAAGTATCCATTAAATGTAGCTGCTGTTGCTACATTTGCTAGCTAGGAATTATGGGAGTTTGGGAAAATGCTGTATATTTTTCTCTTTTCTTTCTAAAGTCGTGAAGGTTTCAACCACCAAATAATATGATATAGAAGAAAATGCTATTTAAAGTGGCAGACCATGGCTCTTAGAAGTGGAACACTATCTGGAGAACTCACTGCCGGAGGTGATTTTTGAAAACGAGCTCTAAGCCAAAGATCATTAGAGCACCCATTCCAAATTGCAAGCATAGGTTTGTAAATTATTCCTCTTTTATGGCCAATTTCATGGGCTAGCACAAAGAACACAATTTTTTAAAAAGTTGTTAATGATTCTTATAATCGCCACTGACTAATCTTGTTTCATAGACTGTTCTAGTAGAAACCAAAGTCCAGTCAACCTCCCATTATAAACAGAATTGGCAACCTTACCATAGTCTATGCTGATTGGAATTTTAGGACCCCTTCAACCTCTCAAGATGTGTATGGTACTTGCTATAAAAACCCATAGATCAATGGAATCGAATGGAAATCACAGAAATAAATTCATTCACTGAATGAATTTCATCCTTGGAAAGGGTGCAAAAATAAACAACGGGGAAAGGGAGCACTTCAAAACCAGTGTTTAGCTAGATACATTAAAGAATGAAATTAAAGCTTTATCATCTATCATGTACCAAAATTAAATTTAAAATGCATGAATGACTTAAATCTTAGACCTGAAACTATAAAACTCTTGGATAAAAACACAAGTAAAAATCTTCTTGAGATGGCTGTTGGCAAAGTTTATTTATTTATTTATTTTGGAAAAGAAACTTAAAGCACGGACAACAAAAGCAAGAATAAATGGAACTGCATCAGACCACAAAGCTTCTGCACAGGAAAGGAAACATTAAAAAGAAAAGGTATCCTACAGAATGGAAGAAAATTTTGCAAGCTATATATCTGATAAGGGAATAATATCCCAAAATATAAGGAACTCATACGATTCAACTGCAAAAAGATTTAAAAAGTATTATATAAATATTTGTCAGAGGGATACACACAAATGGTCCATAGGTCTATGAAAAAATGCCCACAGAGCTAATCATTAGGCAAATGTAAATCAGAATCACAGTGAGATAATCACTCCATATCTGTTAAGATAGCTATTATCCAAAAATAAAGGGATAAGTGTTGGTAAGGATGTGGAGGAAAAAAAAAAAACCCTTGTAAATAAGAATATGAATTAGTGCAGCAACTATGGGAAATAAAAAATTAAAATAGAACTATCACACCATTCAGCAATCCTACATCGTGGTATATTTCTAAATGAAATGGAATCAACGTCTTAGGGAGATGTCTGCATACCTTGTTCATTGCAGAATTATGGACAATAGCCATGATATGAAGAAAAGCCCTCTGTGTTCATCTGTGGATTAATGCATAAAAATCCTCTGATCAATCTATCATCTATCTATCTATCTATCTATCTATCTATCTATCTATCATCTACCTATCAATTTGGTCCTAAAGATGACAGAAGTTGTCAGGAGTGGTGGTCATGCCTATAATCTCAGTACTCTGGGAGACTGAGGGAGGAGATCTCAAGATTCAGGCCAGCCTAGGGAATTTAGGAAAATCCTGTCCCAAAATAAAAATAATAACTAGGAATGTATCACAGTGACACAGCAACCTTGAGTTTGGTCACCAGTCTTGAAGAAAAGGAAATAATTTCTGCCATTTGCAAAATCGTGGATAAGTCTGGTGGACATTCTACTAAGAAAAACAATCTAGACAAAAAAGACAAATATTATACTATCTCTTTTATATGTAAAATCTAAAAAATGTTAAACTCATTGAAAGAGTGAGTTGTACATTGGCTGGAAGGTAGGTGAGAGAAATGGGGAAATGTTGGTCCAAGGGTACAAACTTTCATTTATAAAACAAACTTGGCCTTTTGGCTAAGATGAAGTGTAAAACAAGCTCCGGGAATCTAACAAAAAACATGGTGGCTCTAGTTAATAATGTTTTATTGTTTATATAAAATTTGTTCAGTATAACTTGCATACTCACAACACACAAACAACAATGTGTCATGATGGATATGTGAGTTACTATGATGGTGGTGATCATTTTACAATATATAGTGTGTAAAATCATCACACTGTATACCTTGAGCACATACAATTTTTATTTGTAAATTAAACCTCAATAAATTAGGAATAAAGAATAAATAAATAAAGAACAGATAAAATTAATTTTAAAAATATATTTTCCTTAACCCAGTTACACAAAATATTATACTTTCAACTTATAATCACCACAAAAATTATTAATGAGCTTTTTACATTTTTTCATACTAAATTTTAAAATTTGTATACATTTTATCCATAACAATTTAGGCACTATTTTGGTCTTCATCAGAAATAGTTGATTTGAGTCCAGATTTCAAAACAATTACAGTTAAAAAGTACGTTCATATAGCCCAAGTTTTCCAAACATACTTGAGAGTTATCTAGTAACTAAAACAAGTATCAGTTTTGAGTTCAAATTAAATACAATTAAAATTCAATTATTCAGTTATACTGCCTACATTTCAGCATTCATTTGGCTATCACAGTTCGATAGTACAAGGGAATTTTTTGGTTGTTTTGAGACAGAGTCTTGCTACGCAGTTCAGGCTGGCCTTGAGCTCACTTTGTAGCCCAGGCTGGTCTCAAGCTCTCAAGGATCCTCTTGCCTCAGCCTCCCGAATGCTGGGATTACAGGTGTGGGCCACTACACCTGGCAGTGCAAGTTTTTGCATAAGTGTGTAAGTATGGGTAAAACCTCTGGCGTGAATTAGTACTAACACATATCAAATCAGGGAGCAGAATATGCAGTTAGTAAGAGGACTACCACTGGGTACTATGGATTAGCTTCAGTCTCTCCTTGTTGGTCCACACCCACTCAGGTAAGGGATAGCTGAGAAGAAATGCGGAAGGTATTCAGAGAAGTTCCTACAATCTGCAAAGGCTGAGGTTAACTGGGGAAAGCATAGAGTTTATGATGTTAAAATAGTGGTTTCTTACTATTTGCACTTTCTGGGTCTTATCTCTTTGTTAAGTGAATAAACAGCTTTAAGTGAGGGACAGACTCCCAGAGGGGTGGAGAGAAACTGTTTGGTTGTAATGGAAATAGGTAGTCCTCTTCCACTGTCATATACTCAGCTAAAAATTGCCACAAACAACACCAAAATTACAAAACCCAAGTTCCTATATTTTTGCTCAAACAATGAAAGTTTCTTTTGTTTTACTTAGGGAAAAGTATAGACATGCTGCATTTTGGCACCGTCATAAGCAGAATGTGTAAAATTAAACGTCATTACCTTTCAAAGAACCTACTGTGCTTGCTTGGGCAGCACGGGTACTAAAATATCAAAGAGCTTGCTTCCTATTCTATGTTGGGAAGTTCTAGGAATACACAGAAAGGATTCACCACTCATCCAGAATATTTCACCTTTATTTACCAAGTAAATATTCTATTCTATGTTGGGAAGTTCTAGGAATACATTCTATGTTGGGAAGTTCTAGGAATACATAGAAAGGATTCACCACTCATCCAGAATATTTCACCTTTATTTACCAAGTCTCTGTGCTATCATAGTCTATGACTATGCACTGCATTAGGCCAAGAAAGGAAATTTTCGGCTGGAGGCTATGATTGATGGGTGAGGTAGGCTGTCATGGGATACAAGGTCTGCCAGGCCAGCTCCAAACTCCCAGTGATCCTCTGGAGAGCCAGGATTACAGGCCTGCGCCACCACGCCCAGCTGGAGCATCATGTTTTATCTGGCAAATCTACAGAGTTTGACAACTCCGAATTAGGGGTAAGATAAATTGAGAGAAAGGAGAGTTTCCTTAAGAAAATAATTCCTACAATGAGTCCTGGACATAGCAGGGAAGACGCTGGGGGAAAAAAAATCTTTCTGGGTGAAAACACGGCAAAGCCAACACAGTCGCGAAGACACTCCAGGATCCAGGAACTCAAAGTAGCAAAGAAATTGGGGCAAGCAAGAAGGAAAGAACACTGAGAAATGAAGTTTCAGGGAGAAGCAGGCGCCTTGTCTTTCAGGACTTTGGAAGCCTTGCCGGGAGATCACACTTCATGGTAACCTGAGCGAGGCTCCACCAGAGAAGTCTGGCCGGCTTGGGTACAGTTTGCAGACAGCGTGCACGGCAATCAGGAGATTGCTGAAGTGATTGAGGCGGGAAATCAGCGCAGGCAATGGGAAAACAGGTGCATTATTAACACCTCAACTTGCGCCGGCAGAGTGAGGCAACTACAGAGACGGTCAGAGGGGGCCGGAGACGGAGGGAAACCACATGCTGCACAGCTTAGGACGAAAACCGAACAAAGAGTCACAAAGTTCAACGGTCTCTGAGAAGTCAAAGGATTGACTAGATTTGACCAAAAGTCACCAGTGAGCTTTGGCAAAGGCCGTTTCCGTGGACTGGTTCGGGCCAAGGGAGATCGCAGTTGTTTGCTTAGAGGAAGAGGCAGAACCTAGCTGGAGCAACAAAAGGCTCTCAGTTCTTTTTTGCCCTTTTAATAATAGGTCGAGGATCAAGGAGAAGAGCTGAGTTAGACAAGAGCGGCTGTGCCCCCATCAGGCGGAATAGCGCAGCATGCCGATCTCTAGGGACCAATCCTAACCTAGAGCGCACTTGACTGACAGAGCCGCTCACCAAAGACGGAGCGCAGAGCGGGGAGGCGAATCGCGAGGGGGCGGGATCCAGGGCACTAACCCGGAACCGTTTGGGACTCGATTCCCATTGTGAGGCCCTGGCCTGGGGCGGGATCTCATGCAGAATGGCAATATTATTCGGCCCAATGGATGAGCCGTGTCAAATAAAAGACAGCCACTTTAGCCAATGGAGGGACGGAGAAGTTGGTGGGCGGGGAATCAGTGAAGCATTTCTTTTCCACCGCCCTGAGGGGCGATCCGGCGCGGTGCGGGCAGGTCGCAGGTGAGCCCGCTGTGCAGGAGCAGGTGGCGAGGGACGCTGTGCCCCCCGCGGAAACTGGGTGCCCTTGCAGGGTGGGCTGGGGTGCGTGGGGCCCCGGAGGGCTCAGCGGCAGGTGGTTGCCTCGCCCCTGCGGGCGGTGGCCCTGGTTCTGCAGCGCGGCGGGACCACAGCGCTCGGGAGGACCCGGGAGGGCGAGGAGGGCCCAGGCCGCTCAAACGGGGCTGCGGGAGCTTCTGGGCACGCAGCCGGGGCTCTGGCTTAGTGTCTGGGGAGAGCAGTTTTCCCGTGCAAGTTGCCCCGACTCCACCAGGTGCAATGCGTGGTGGCCGGCCGGGATCCGTCCCGTCCTCCCCGCGGCGGCGGGAGGCGGGTGCTGCTCCGATCACGGGGACCCTAAACTTCAGGTGTTCCCCTGCCTGGAGTTTACAGAACAGCGTCGTATTCGGCGGCAAGGGAATGTCCCGCAAGAATGTAGAGGAGGGGAAAGCCGCTCTTTAAAGTGGACTAGGGTGGGAGAGTCGAGCAAAGTTTGTCCATTTGCGATGCCTTTCTTCTCGAACTGCTTAATGAATTGATCTCTCTCCCTCTTTTTCTTTTAGCTTAGACTTCACTGCCTATTTTCTAGACCTCTTAATTCTGCCTTATGCAATGTTTAGGGGCTTATTTCTCAGTTAGTCCTTGTAACTAATGCCCGGTTATGACGTGCAATTGGTGGTACATCATCTTCGCCAGGATTATGTAAGTGAACTGCATATTATTCCCATTTTCAGTCAGTACAGAATGGTTGTAAGATGAGAATTGAGGAGAATGGCTGTTGTCTGGGATTGGATGTTGGAGATCTGTTAAGTTTTAGATTTACAGACTGTTGTGACTATTGAATTCCCTGCTGCAAAGCCAGGGATGGCAACCAATCAAAAAACATACTATTCGGCATCTTTAGACACTTCATGGAATATTTTTATAGCTGCAGCACTTGGTGCTTTGCACGTTGTGGGTGCTTAGTAAATACGTTTTGAGGAAATTGTTGGCCGAAAATCCAAGCTTCTGTTACATAGGCACAAAAATATAAAGGCGATGACAGCAAGAGCAAAGTTAACATTCCTGAAAACATGGTTTTTATGTGTATAAACACAACTACCAAATTTTAACAACATGCGTTCATCGTAGCACTTTTGCACTAAGAAAATGTCAAGGTTTTAGGCAAAGGGTTTCACACACTTATGTCCAAGCTGATAGGAAATCTAAGATGTGTTCCAGGATCAATTTCTTCGGGGCTTAAAGTGATATAAAGTATATTTTGTCAATAAAATAGTCCATTAGCTCCGCATAGATCAGTCAGGAATAAGGGAACATCACTTTGTAAGCTAGAAGTATGGAAAAAATAGACCGTGTAAGTAGCAACAACTGCTGACAGGTTTTAAAAATTTTATTTTTAATTATATTTAGAAGTATATTTAAAAAATTTTAAAGAGTATATTGACTCCGTGGTAGGTTAAAAAGGCCCTTTATTTCTGCCTTGTACCAATAAATTCATAATCCAACTACTAAATCGAGGTCAAATTGAAATTCACAGTGTGATGGTGGATATCTGTATAAAGTAGGATTTTCTAAGTCTCGATTGTCGTATATACTTATAGTTATCATATATGACAGTTTATATATATTTATCATATATTACAGTTTATGAATATATTAAAGTAACAGTGCCTCTGTATGAAAGGTGACCTGCTTGAATTTTAAAAATATGTGAGCTTTCACAGTTAGTATTTCTTTCAGGACATTATATTGGCAAAGCAGAAGGTCTTACTATTGAAGATTTGCTGATATTTGACCCCAATTTAATTTTCCAGCTTTAGTTTCTGGTACTTCTACCTTTTATTTCTGTCCTCCATTGGTCTATTTCTTCAAATTAGATGCTGATATCCTTCTCAAAACCTTTTTATTCCATCAAGATTTTTCCTTCTTTTTTCCAAGTATTTTGTTAGGGCTTCTTTACTGTACTCTTCAAATGTTAATATTCAGTTATCCAGTAAAGAAGTATTTCTTACTGTGTCCACGTACTGTACTAAAAGTTAATGTATGGTAGCTGAAATTTTTTGTATGTTTACTATATCTTAGTGTCAATAAACTTCTTAATTGGATTATGTCTTTTAATCCTTGGAATGTCATGAATGTTACTCTGTTATTCCCATTTGTAGGTAAGAAACAAAAATAAAGTTTCATTTGCTTGAGATCAGAGAGCTAGAAAGTGGTGAAATTGGTGTATAAGCCTATGTAGTTTGTGTTCACAACTTTTAATTTACATATTCACATTACTTTTTCACGTGCATTTTTTTTTAATGTATCTGTGTTGTACAGATTTAACTCAGCTGTAAATTAGGTTGCAGGCTATATTCTGGCCTCAAATATAACTTTCTGTTATGTATATTTTCCCAAAAATAAACTAGCTTTTTTTGCTTTGTGGCATTGAGGTCTTTCCTTAACCAGTCTCTGAAATGAAAGTTCTTAGCAGCTATAGCATTTGTACTTTGCCTTGCCTTGCTGTACACTGTTGAATAAGTAGACTTTTAACACTGCTTTCCTAGCAGGGTAGTTCTCAGTGCTGACAAAAAGGGAACTGTAAAAACTCTTATTGTCTAGCCCTACTGCAAGTTTTAGTTGGTCAGAGATAGGGTTTGGCTAGAGGTGTTTTTAAAAAATCCTTAGGTGACTTTTTTTAATGTATATAATTGAGTTTTAATGTGTTGCCCAAACTACCCTCTAACTCCTGGGCTCAAGTAATCCTCTTCCTTCAGTTTCCTGAATAGCTGGCACTATAGACGCCTTAGCTGATTTTGATGACCTGGGGACATATTCTTCAGTATCTTAGCTACTGGGTACATGTGCTCTTGAGTTGGTGAAAAGTGGCTAGTACAAAATGAGAGGTGCTGTTAATTATAAAATACTCAGTTTTTAAAACTTAGTGGAAGAAACAAGAATGAGACTATCCCTCTAACTTTTATATTAATTACAAATTATAATGATAATATAGAGATTATATAAGGTTAAGTAAAAAATGTTTAAATGGTACTTCTTAATTTTTTTTTTCACTTTAGTTTCTAGGAAATTAAAGATCACTAGGAAATTGAAAATCACATGCATACATCACAATATTTTATTGGACAGTGTTCCTCTGGTCTGATGATAGATTTGTGAAGAGTGGATTTATGGTACTTGAAAAATGTTATTTTCTATAATAAAAACTTCTTCTAAATAGATCATTTTAATCCCCTCAGAGTAAACCGTGCTGTAGGCTCACAAATAGGCGGATGCCTGAAGTAAAAATGACTGGTACACATGACCCCTAGAGCCAGTGATTGTGGTATGCAGTGTCGGTGATCATTTGCAGGGAATAGGCTGTTCTCTCTCTCTGAACACTGATAGATGGCGCCTCTGAATATACACACACAATTCACTTTACTTGGTTTAACTCTAACATTTACATAGGGATGGTGCGGATATGCTAAGACATATCCATGCTCTAATGGACATTTATTGCATATATTCCTTTATGTGGCATAGTATAGTTTATTTTTTGTATAGTCTCCTATTAATGAATATTTGTATTTTTCCATGTTTCACTTTGAATATATGACAGTAATTTTTTTGGTTCAAAAAGCTATATTTTCTGAAACATTCTCGATTTTGGGGGGAACAAGGTCATCCTATCACATTGTAGAGATTTGATTTGATGTGGAATTTAATGTCACTTTAGTTGTCTGTTCTACTTTTAAGATATCTAACCTTTATTTTGTAAAGAAAACCTTTGATAACCCAGCTTTTAAAAATGTCTTTCAGGGGCTGGGGATTTAGCTCAGTGGCAAAAGCGCCTGCCTGGCAAGCGCAAGGTCGTGAGTTCGGTTCCCGGTACCGGAGAAAAACCAGACCAAAAAAAAAAAACAAAAAAAAAAAAAAAAAAATGTCTTTCATAACCTATTTACCATTGATAGATACTGCCTAAGTAGCAGTGTAGCCTGTTCACCGGAAAGTTTTTGTTGCTGTTGTTAAGAATTTTTTTTTTTTTTTTTGGTTTTTCTCCGGTACCGGGAACCGAACTCACGACCTTGCGCTGGCCAGGAAGGCGCTTTTGCCACTGAGCTAAATCCCCAGCCCCTGTTGTTAAGAATTTTGTCCGAGCTGTTCACTGTTACATTCTGTGGCGTGTTGTAGGTGAGTGGTTAACCTAATGTCTTTGTGGGGCTGGGGATTTAGCTCAGCGGCAAAGCGGCTGCCTGGCAAGCGCAAGGTCGTGAGTTCGGTTCCCGGTACCGGAGAAAAACCAAAAAAACAAAAAAACAAAACAAAAAAATCTAATGTCTTTGTTTAGTCTCATAAACTGCTTCTTGCCCATGTTGACTTGGGCCGCTGCTTTTTTGAAAGCATGTTTTTTGTGTGCCCATGAAAAATTTCAGTTTTCTAATTTAATCGCGAGTTATTTTCTGTTCGTGTTTCTTTTTGCTTCTCTTGATCATCTCTTGATTTGATATTTTTGCCCCTTCCTATGTGTTAGACATATGCCCAGTATTGAAGATGCTGTCTTTGGAATAGCTGGTCTACCTTCTCCTAGCTCCTCAGTGGTAGGGCAGATGGTGGAAGAAGGAAAAAAGCCAAGTTTTGATTTCTTTTATTCTTTCAGGTACGCTGCAACACAGGTTAGTGAGGAGAGATTATTGGGCCTGGTGCAATGGTACAGAAGTTCAGTTCTTTTTATTGTTATTTATGAACATAGCACTTCCAGAGTATTTTTAGTTACCTCTGAAGAAAAGCTGAATACTTGCCCATTCTATGGGATAACTTGAATTACTAAGAACCATTAGACCAAAGTGCTAATTCAAAATGATCCTCTACAGTTATAAGTATTGTAGTAGAAGGTTTACTTAACTCGCTTGGGGTCTGGTGTTAAAATATTTCATTTCTTTAATTTTTCAAGTAAGTATTTATTTGATATATGCAAAAATATTGTTACCATAATGTTTTAGAAAACCAGCCCCCATCCAAACAAAAGCGAACCTAGTTTGTTGCATTTTCAATGCGGTGATTTTCCAAGCTGTGGTGTCAATGCTGCCATCGTTGCACTTTTAGCTTCCGCCTTGATATCACCGAAGGCGGAGTTGAAGAGATGTCTGTTTCACATTGTAAACTCTCGCTGGTGGGCTTTGTAAAGTAGCCTGTATGTTACAAAGCATGATAGAGACTGTAGACCTCCCAGTTAGCTTAAGTAGAGCAGTACATTATTATGGTGACCTTTCTCTTCCTCTTCATTAAAATTATTTAGATTTTTGTCCTTAATAATAGATAGTTAACAATGCTTAGTGTGTGCCAGGAAATACTTTCCATATTTTACTAAATCCTTTATCCTTTATAGGGAGGTTAAGCAATTAAGGCCACAGAACTAAGAAGTGGTGGACCTCAGGCCCTTCTTTGGAGAGTCTCACTCCAGCATCTGTGCATAATCACACACACTGCCCCTTAATGATGTTTTAATTTATAAGTACCTTTCCTTATATTCTTTTGATAAAAGACACATTCCTGCATTACTATCAAGCCCATTGTCACCGAATACACATTCCAATTTAATGGATTTCAACAGATCATTACATGTCTCTTGAGATATTTTGAAACTGTAATTTAAAAATACTTTCTTTGCAGTCCTTGTTTTTGCATACTTCGACCTTTTTGTGTGTGTTTTGTGAAATTGACAGTGATTTTTGAGCATTCATTTTCTGCTATTTAGAATTTTTAGTTCTCCGTGACCTCTATTTCAGTAGTGAGCGGCTGTCCAGGAGGTAGTTATTCCACATGAGTGAGTGGAATCAAATGTGCTGATGGGCATATTTTTGGTGAGATTATTCGATACATATAAAGTCAGTTGAATAAAGATGACTAGAAAAGATAAGAGAATAAAAGTTTACTGAAGCGGCCATAAAAATGCTGTGTTATTAAAGTTTCAAAATAAGGAAATAGCATCTACTTTTAACTAAAACAAAGCTCAAACAGTAACAGAAAAGACTTTCGTATTTTCTTTTTTTTTTTTTTTTGGTTTTTCTCCGGTACCGGGAACCGAACTCACGACCTTGCGCTTGCCAGGCAGGCGCTTTGCCGCTGAGCTAAATCCCCAGCCCCTCGTATTTTCTTGTTAAATTTACCCTTGCTTATTTGCTGTATTTTTACCCCAGAGAACATACTGTTTGTATCATGAGTAACCACATAACTATTTTTCACAGTAATAAAAATTTTAAACTGGCAGATATTATGTTAAAAGGCAAACTGAGATACAGTAAAATTTTAGAAGTTTATTTGAGGAAACAGAGATTGATGAATTGAACAGCTCTAGCCAGAAATATTTCATTAGAGCTTCTGCCTAGGGAGTGCAAGAAGGCGTTTGTAGCATGAAAGTGAAAGTAAAACAAAGAAAATATTTGATGCGTTATAGTTACATGCCTTATTCTAGTCTGTTGAAAAGTTCCTCATTATATAACTATAAATTCTTTGGCTGCTTCTGATTGGTTGGCCTAGTGTTTTATTTTTCTTATGTATGGCACTGACAAGAAATATGCCAAGTAATTTAGTATATATTTGCAAATCAAAGTTAAGGTAATTTAGGAGGTCTGGCTGTGTCTGTTAGGGATTCTTCAGGCCTGGTTTCTATTTTAATTTGCTTTTCCACATGATAGGAGAAATATGACCAGTTAAAGCTTTGAGGAGTTTTTCTGCTGATACACAAAATTGTATCTGAATCTTACACATAGATAAAAATCTACTCCTTTTGAAAATCTGCTGGGCCAGGGATATAGCTCAGTGGCATAAGTGCCTGCCTGGCAAGCGCAAAGTCCTGAGTTTGATTCCTGGTACCAAAAAAAAAAAAAAAAAAAAAAAATCTGAAAATCTGTTAAAGGATATCTCATAACTTACTTTAACAATGCATTTCTGATTTAGCTATCACAAGCTGCTGATAAAGTTGAAATATACAGAAAAACATAGGGAACCTGGGTAGAAGTCCTGTCCTTTAGCCATGTGCAAATTCACCACTCAGTCTTGTTTTATAAATAAAAATCTGATACTTGTAATATAATGGTTAGGTGAAGATTAAATTAGAGGACCTGGGATTTTACAAATATTTGGTATTTTTCTTCATGTTGCCCAGAAAAGTTTATGGTCCTGTGGTGACAGAGCTGAAAGGATTTCAGCAATCTCATCCCATCTTCTCATTTTGTAGGCTGTAGGCTGTAGCAGCAATTATTGAAGGAATTTGAAATCAGAGAACACGGTCTGCGTATATATTCCTTATCCTTTCAAAGCTCCTGTTTCCTATTACATACCTTAGAGCTCTGTTTTCCAAGTTGAACATTTTGTGACCTTTGTCCCACTTTTCTCCTGAACCAGTACTTATGAAACAGTATTTGCTATAGTCCTGTATGAGGAATTGGGACCTTTTCTGCTTCTAGGAGGAGAATGAGTTCCTGACACAGAATGCAACATTTGCTCTAACCTCCCACACTCCTCCACGTTTCCACACTGCAAGAGCTACACAGCAGAAAAACATTTCCCTTCTGTGAGGATTGTGGATGTGTTTTATACGGGATTCTGCCACTTGCCGCACCTGTGTTAGACTAGACTGTAAGCAAGAGTCAGGCATGTGAAACATTCATTTTGCTGACGGGGATCTTGTGCAGAACTTCTCCAACTTTCGCATGCAGTATAATCATCTAGAAGGTTTATTGAAACACACATTGCTGGGTGCCACCTACAGAGTTGCAGATTCAGTTAGTCTGGTGTGGGATGTAAGTGTAAGACTGATAAGTGTCAGACTGATGACGCAACAGCATGTGTCCTCTGGAAACGTGAAACATTCTGTCTTCATCTAAAAGAAATGCTTACAAAAGGATCTTTCCCACTCTAAGTTCAAACTAAAATTTCGCCACATGTATGTTTTTAAATGTATTTCACGGAGACTGAAAGTACAGTATACCTAGTTATTTGCCTATATCGTCTTCAACTCTGCACTTAAAGTGGCCCAGAATATTATGAAGTACTGCTAAGAAAAGCGAATAATGAAACACATTAATGAACACAGCACTCTGCTTTTGTTTTATGTTAGGGGATTTTGTTTGGGGTGGCGTGAGGGTCGGGAGAATGTAGTACACACTGAGGGACACTAACAGTGGTAAACCAGGAACTGTGTACAGCTCCAAAATGTTGAAGAATTAGCTGGGCATGGTGGTGCATGCCTATAATCTCAGCATTCGGGAGGCTGAGGCAGGAGGATTGTTGTGAATTTGAGACCAGCCTGGGCTGCAAAGTGAGCTCAAGGCCAGCCTGAAAAGCAGAGGGAGACCCTGTCTCAAAAAGACAAACAAAACAAAATGTTAAAGAATTAACATTTTTTTATTTGATTGGTAATGTTTCTTTAACTGATTAAATGGGATGGCTGGGAAATCCTTCCCATTTTTATGTTACTACTGAGGGGAGGAGCTGGAGCAGTAGGGAGTGGGCCAGGAGTGCAACTAGTTAGGACCCTTGGCATCATCTCACATGAGAGAAAGTGGTAGCTTGTGGACCGTGGTGATCCTGGCAAAGAGAAGTAGACAATCTCAATCCGTATTTAAAGGGTTTGTGTGTGCGTGTAAGTTATGTAGCTCACTGGGTTGAATGTTACAGATGTTGCAGGCTGGTTGATTTTGCTTTACTTTTTCCCTTAGAAATTACCCAGCTTGCCTCCACTTCCGGATGAACGGAAAACCCAGTGATTTGAGCTAAGTGCCCACAGGGGACTGTCCTTGGTTTATGTGCCCGTGAAGCGCTGCTCAAGTTCTTTTCACATCTTCTCTTGTTGTAGAAACTGTGCTTAAGTTTTGAAAAATGAAGCAGTTGAAAAGAAAAAGGAAAAGCAATTTTAGTGTCCAAGAAACTCAGACTCTTTTGAAAGAAATTACCAAAAGGAAAGAAGTCATTTTTTCCAAGCAGCTCAATACAACAATAAACGTGATGAAGCGGATGGCTTGGGAGGAGATCGCGCAGTGCGTGAACGCTGTCGGGGAGGGAGAGCAGAGGACGGGGACAGAGGTGAAAAGAAGGTACCTTGACTGGCGAGCGCTCATGAAGAGGAAGAGGATGAAGGCGAACATTAAGCTGGTTGGCTCAGGATTTCCCCTGCCCACGTCTGACTTAGACGATTCCCTCACTGAAGAGATAGATGAAAAGATTGGGTTCCGAAATGATGCAAATTTTGACTGGCAGAACGTGACAGATTTCAGGGATGCAGGTGGATCCTTAACAGAGGTCAAAGTGGAAGAGGAAGAGAGGGATCCCCAGAGTCCTGAGGTAAGTGTTAGCCTGGGACACCTTGTTTTTTGTCATTTTCAACTCTGAGAGTTTATTTTATTTTTTTAAATTTTATTTTTAAAGATAAAAGAACCAAAACATCCCAGCACACACGGACATAAAGAAAACATCAGAACAATGAAAACAACACAGAATTTCAGATAAATTGAGAATTTATGGTCCTCAGATGGTGAAGAAATTCTCATATTTTCAAGCTTAGTTAACAAGATTGTTCTCTTTGTGTTTTCTTTACATTATTAAAGTGGGAAACCATTGTCTCAAATTTGCGTTTTAGTGATAAGAGATAATTCAGTGTACACTGTTCAAATTAAATGGTTTGGTGTGTTCAAATAATAATACCAAGAAATACCTGGACAAGCCTAACAACTACCATAAAGTAGAAGTAAACACTGAAAATCTCTTGTGTCTTTTCTCCTAGTTTGAGATAGAGGAAGAAGAAGAAATGTTGTCGTCTGTCATACCGGATTCCAGGAGGGAAACCGAGCTGCCCGATTTCCCCCACATTGATGAGTTTTTCACCCTAAATGCAACACCCTCTCGATCTGCCTACGATGAGCCCCACCTGCTTGTAAACATAGAGAAACAGAAGCTAGAGCTGGAAAAGCGACGGCTGGACATCGAGGCCGAGAGGCTGCAGGTGGAGAAGGAGCGCCTGCAGATAGAGAAGGAGAGGCTGCGGCACTTAGACCTGGAGCACGAGCGGCTGCAGCTGGAGAAGGAGCGGCTCCAGATTGAGAGAGAAAAGCTGAGGCTGCAGATCGTCAGCTCCGAGAAGCCGTCCCTGGAGAGTGACCTTGGCCCAGGAGAGAAGTCCTTACTGCAGCCACAGGACATAGAAACGGAGAAGCTCAAACTCGAGCGAGAACGCTTGCAGCTGGAGAAAGACAGGCTGCAGTTTTTGAAGTTCGAATCTGAGAAGCTGCAGATCGAAAAGGAACGCTTACAAGTAGAAAAAGAGAGACTTCGAATTCAGAAAGAGGGACACTTGCAGTGACTTTTTACTTTGGGTCTCTAGTGAATGTTTATATAGACTAGGTTTTTCTCATAGCAGATGACGTAAAGGTAGTTGCTGGACTAGCAGTGTCGTTTTCCTAATGTCTGTTTTCAGTAGATGAAGGTAGTTACATGTGAGTAGCTGTGTGCTTAAGTAGTATATTGTATAAAAGCTCTGTGCCCTGATATAAACAGTAGCAGAATTACTGTGCTAGACGCTTCACATTAGTAATACTATATAGTCTTGTATGATCCGTGTACCCAGTGTTTACAGTTATGTCTGTAAAAAATTCTAGTCCAGTGGTTCTCAATTTGGGTGATTTGGGCCCCGGGAAGACGTTTGACAGTGTCCGGAGACATTTTTGGTTTTCAGAACTAAAGTGGGGAGGCAGATGGCTCCTGGCCTGTAATATGTAGAGGTGCAGTGCGGAAGTCCCCCCTCCGCACAGTTGAGAGTCAGCCAGCCCAAAATGTCATTAGGATCAAGTTTGAGGAAGCCCATCCTAGTCTAACTAGTGCACCTCTCTAACTATATGGTATAGTTTTAGAATATTAAAACCTCACATACTTAAGTGGGTAGATAATTAAATGGCCAAAAACTTTTAACTATGAAATATTACTGTGTAGTATGTTGAATGTAGGAAATGATGAAAATTATAGGTATTTTATTCCCGTTTCCGTTTACAAATGGCCTGATAGAAAATAACACAGGGCACACCTGAAATTATTTAAATTTGCTTTCACCTGTCGATGCTTTGGGAGCAACAACTTTGAAGCTTTAGTTCCCTTTCTCTCCGAATCTTAGTTTGAACACGAAAATGATTTCAATCCTGTACTGAAATCTTCTGTAAGAGAATGATGGAAGGTAGCGGAAATAGTACCAGTATAAACATGGTACCAGTAGCCCCTAAGCGAGAGCCCAGTGAGTCGTTGGTTGACCTTTAAAATATAAAAGAATAGCAGTCTGGGGGTGGGAAGTAGGGGAGAACGGACCCTTCTAGCACATAACAATGATGATGTTGAGACAAGGGTAATAGCTGTGTTGTGGGCGGGAGAAGCACCCCCCACACGGTATTTGACCTAATCTGTACAACAGTCCTGCGTGTCGTGTCTATTTCTGAGTCTGAAGCTTCAAGTCACAGTGAGTACATTGCTGATCTTTCATATTGCAGCGTATTTTGTCTTTGCTCTTCTCTGAGGAACGAAGTTTGTATCTTCAGGCCTTCTGGTATTTTGGGGCTAAGGGCAGGCTTACCCTGCAGTGCGGCCTGTGTCCTGAAGGTGCTTCTTGCCGCGGTCCAGGTGATTCTAATGTACATTAAAGTTGGAAATGGCTGCACGAGTTCACTTTGTGTTTCCTGATTTCCAGGGCTGATACGTAGCTTTAATCCATCTCCTACTGATGTACTACCTGGATTCTCTCTGTGTTTCTTGTTAATTTAAGAATGGGTTAAAATCATTTTGACATTTGAGTATGAGTATGCAAGAGAAAAATATACTTTTGCTTACTTACCCTGATTTTGAAATAGTGTTATTTTTCTATAACTATAATAAATGCTTCTGCCGTAGAAATAAATTTGCCTATACCATCTGTGTGAAAGTTTATCATTTCAAGCGCTGCTCTGTGGTCTAACACTAGACGTTAACTAGCCTGAGAGAGAGCCCTGTCATGGTGCGTGTGGGCAGGGGCCTAACACTCAGGCTAGGTTTTTCATCTGCATGCCTCACATGCATTATTTATTTACTCCTTAAAATAACCCTTGAGCTAAATCGTGTTACCCGTACTTTCATAAGGAAGAAAACTGCTGTATCTATGTATTTAATACCTGAAAAATATAATAAGGCATACTAAACACTCGATTGTAGGATAAGAGTAGAAGGAAAGTATAGGTGTAGTTATAAGTGTTGCAGCTCTGCTTTTTGAAACTTAATAAATGTCAGTCAGCTTGCCCTTTAGCTTAATTTCCTCAGATACAAAATGAGCTAATGCTAACCTACTCTGCTAGTGTTCCACAGTTTCTTTTATCTAAAGAAAATTGTATGAAATATACGAAACATAATATACAGCTCAGGTGCAAAATGATATTAGTGATTTCAGATCATTAGATTTTAGTTTGCTGGGGAAAGCATAAGGATAGCTAATTATCAGTTTTGCATGGAGCTTGCTTGAGTTTCTGAGAGTAAGAAATTAAAAAAAAAAAAAAAAAAAAAAAAAAAAGCCTAGTGTCTTCCAGGGCTTTGATCAAGACCCCAGGGTTTGTTAATTCTGTCCAGTGCCCATAAGTTGATTTGCTCCAATAGAGTGGCCGCCTTTCTTGTTACCTATTGCTGTGCTACAGACTATCAAAAATTTCATGGTTGGAAACAACCACCTTTTATGCTCAGAGTTTTAGAAGAAATTAGACCGAATTTAGCTGGATAATTTTGATCTCCACTGGTTTTCTGTGGTAAGCTCCAGGTTGGCAAGGGGTTCAGCTTCTGAAAGTTAACTGAATATTAGGTGGACAGTGGGGCCGAGCTGCCGTGACAAGCGTGGACGTGGTCCAGTATGGGTGGCAGAAGTCCAAGAGGGGGAGCAGAGGTGCTCAGCAAACATGCCTTGAAGCCTAGTCAAAATAGGCACAAAATTGCACTCCTGTACTGGCCTCAAAATTAATTACGGGGCTAGACCAGAGTGAGCAGGTGGGGATTAAAGCTCGTTTCTTGATCAGAGGGACTGCAATTTTGTGAAACAAAAAAAGAAACAAAAAACAAAAAAACAAAAAAACCAAACTGGTTGGATGAGAAATTATGCCGTTTTTATAATCAGTCCACGACAGCTCCGTTCTGATTAGCTTGGGATACACCTGATTTTATCAGCGTCCCTGGAGCTCTGATTTAGCATTTGTCCTAGACAAAAATGTCTTGAAGACTTTGAGTTATCACCCTGTTTAAAAGAAATATCGTCCCATCCTTTTTTTTTTTTTTTTTTTGGTACCAGGAATCAAATTAGGACCTCATACTTGCTTGCCAAGCACCGTGCCGCGGAGCTATACCCCCAGCCTTTTTGGCTTTGTTTGTTTTGGGAAGGTACTGCTACACAAGACAGTACCACAGCTTCACAGAAAAAGCAAGTGTTCTCTGGGCCTTAGAAGGTACACATTGTAATCTTCGTAACTGAAGAGAATTCCTGCTTTACCTCCTTCATTTTCCATCAGCGTTGTTCATTTTATATTACTTTGTTTCCCTCTTCACGTTTTGTCCCCTCCCTCTGTATATGAAGCAGGTCACAGTGCTTTGAGCCTATTTTATTTAGAGTTAATACTTGCCCTTTCCTATTTCTACCCTTAACATTTTTTGTTTTAAACCCCAAATGATTTTCACTGGGTCACTGCACATTGACATGATATTTGCAAAAGTAAATTTAATTTTACATTTTAACTTGTCAGGGCATTTTGCTTTCAAATCTGAAGATATAACATCTAAAGCTGCCAGAGTTCTAATGGGCAGTTTTCTTTCTCAGCGTCTAACTTTTTTCTGATGCGTGCTAATCTTTTATATACGTACCAGGCAGTGTTTTGCACAGTGCCTTCATTAAAATCCAGGTGAAGATTGTCAGATGTATCTCTGAAAATCTCCGCCAGTGCATATCGAAAGAGATTTAACCTACGATTAAGTAGAAGACAGCTAAGAATATACCTTTTTGGAAAAAAAAAAAATAGGTATGCTGCTTGCTTAAATCTCAGACAATTAATTTACCACTGTAGATTGAAGCCATCGTATTATGCTTTTTGACTGACAACTAGGATGAAAGAAGAAATGATAATGATTACAAAATCTGAATTTTAAAATGTTTCCAGAGATTCAGAAGTTCCTCAATAATTTTCATCGGGATGTATCTCGGAATATTTAGCATTTATTTTTCTGATTATTTTTCTATTTTTTTTTAAAATGTAGTAAGTTGAAATAAAAAATTCCCTGTCACTTCCTTTCAAATTTGACCTGAGCTATCAACCCGAATACGCAGTTGTTACAAGCATCTCCCCCTGTATATTGGCTGTTTTCTCAGGCATACGATGACACGCCAGCTCTGAATTCATTAGCTACTTCCTCTCAGAAATCCTATTCCTCTGCACTGCACCATGTGCTCCAGGTTGTTCGGAAATTTTAAAGGTGCCTTTAAATCCTTTGCCTTCCTCATTGTGCTCAAGCTGTTCATCAAGGTCTGTGCTGACTTCTCATGTTCCAGATCAGCCTCCTCCCAACGCACAGGGAACTCGTAGCCCAGGGGCCTCTGTAGCTTGGAATCCAGTGAGCTCCTGTAGTTCCTTGTCCGGTCCTCCTTGTATGACTCTTTCAGCAGAGATTTCCCTAGGTATTCTCTGTCAGCGCCCATGCAGTAGTGGAAGCAGAGCCGAGCTCAGGAAAGACCGCGGTGTGTTCCCAGCGCTCCTTCACCAGCTGTGTGATGTGGGATGGTGAGTCAGTCTCTGTCCTTCACCGTTCTTGGCTTTTCACATCTAGTACATGTGCCCGGCCTGACCTCACCATGTTTGGAATAGTAATATATGAGAATGTAATTCAAAACCAGACAGCAGCCGAGAGGTATTACAGATTTTTCTCTCCTATAGTCTCCGGTTCTCTCGTATCAAATAGAAAGTCTGCAAGTGTCCTTCGCTAACCCTGTTTAAGACATCCTCGTGCTGCATGTGGTTGTCGAGCTGCACTCTAAATACACCGTGCATTTTTCTTATCTTTGCCTGTTTTTTTTTTTTTTTTTTTTTGCTTTTTGAGACAGGGTTTCCCTATGCAGCTCAGGTTGGCCTTGACTCACTTTGTAGCCCAGGCTGGTCTCGAACTTGCAACGATCCTCTTGCCTCAGCCTCCTGAGTGCTGGGATTACAGGCGTGCACCACCATGCCCGGCTATCTTTGCCTTTGACTGTGTTACTTTCATACTTTACCTTTCTTTTTTCTGTCCCACAGTGATAATCAGCAGAAAAGAATTCAGATCTACGCACTTTGCCATCATTTAATGATACTAAAATGAATTTCACTGAATAAAATTGGAATATTTTATCACATGAAAAATTATATCTTCCAACATTTCTCTCAGGACTTTTGAAGTAAAAATATTAAAGCCAACAGCAGTGTGTGCAGCCTGTCACTCATTTCAGTGTAGTCTAGGAAACATTCTCCCACTGTAGAAGTGGGCCCCGATAGCCATGTGCTGTGTAACTGTGCCCCTAGCTGTGTTGTAGACAAGGTGTGATCACAAAATATAGTGACTGTTTAAAATTAAAAAAAAAAAAACATAAAAGACATATTGTCATTAATATGTCTCAGCATACTCCCCTTGTTTAGACATTTACACCATTGTTCTTGTCATTTTTGGGGGAGCGGTTCTGGAAGTCCTCTTTCATGAGTGTTTAGTTGTGCAGTTGTAGCTACTTCCATGTGCTGAACTGATTCAAAACATTTACCTGTCCTGGTCAGCTTAGCTGTGGAGAAGAGTCAGAGGTCTCACAATGCCAGATCCATTCAGGAAGGTGAGTGGCCATACACTGTAATATTTTGTGAACCTGCCTTTCTGTTGGATGGCACTCACCAGCAGCACTTACCTTATTTTTATCACACCTCATTAAGACACAGATGAAGGCTTCTAAATCTCCTTCAAAAAGTGGTGAGAATGCTGGGAATAAGGACATTCAAAATGAGGGGAAATATTTTGAAGGGGATTAGTGGCAATGACTCTTTTTGCAAGAAATTTTTAAAAAGTTAAACATTCACCGTATAATTTGATTATACTTCATGCTTGGATGAGGAGTGACATAGCTTGACCTGGTTACCTGTACCTGACATAACTATATCATCCATCCCTTTGGGTTCTCTTTCCTTAAAGATGATCTGTGTCCTGGCCCAGATCTGTTACTTTTATTGATTTTGCAAATAAAAAGGGGACAAGGATTTTAATTCATACCTGCTCATTATGTCTACCTATTGAGAGTTGGGGTCAGTGCCTGAGTTTAGAATCTTTCTGTGTCCCAAATTGTGGGTAGCCTTTTAAGTATTCAATCTGATAAAAAGAAAATAGTTATTATTACAACACATGATCCCGGGGGGCCTGGCACACTCAAGGTGGCAGCAGTCCTTGGCATCATCTACTGGTGCTGGTTTTACAAGCATTGAAAGTGCAAGAGTTATGAAGTCAGAGAGGGCTTCCATCCAGATTTCAAAGGAGGCCTTGGAGACAGGCACTGTACATCTGGAAGAGTAGTACATAAAACATAAAAGTAAAGCCGCAAGTGCAGCGGAGACCCCGGGAAGTCAGAGAAACCAAGAATGTGGAACATCTAAAGGAAACTACAAGGAGCAAGCAAAACCACCCAAGAGTGAAGCCACGAGGGCTACAAGCACAGCAGTGCCTCAGGAGCAAGGTCCGCAAAGCCTTTTGAAGCTCACATCTCACCCACAGCTTGCTCTGGGTGCTGGACATGTTACCTATGTATATGATTTACAAGATTGGTGTACAATGGCCACCGGAAGAGTCAGGTGTGGAAAAGTGCAAGAGGACTGTCTGTGTGCTGGAGATCTGAGGAACCCAGTTGAAGGC